TGAAAGCAGACGTGGGGCTCTCTATCACAAACGTGTCTGCCTCCACAGTTTAAAACTCTGATATCCACTGTTCTTTTTTGCTGGACCCTTGGCCTGGCACCCCCGGTGCATTGGCGCCTTGGTTGTGCAACAGCTCCTCGCCGGAGGTGTCTCAAGCCTACTTCGCCGCCCGCACAGCATGACGGCTCAGTCCTTGAGGAAGCGGCTGAACATGCTTGGCTTGATTGTCGCGCATTTGCGGACCTGTTGGCTGAGCCGCGCTTTGCGCCCTTGTTTGCAAACCTGCCCGCACTTGCTCGCGTGCGTGCCTGTGTGCGCAGTGCAGACCAGCAAGCACTTGGGGGCTTTGCGCACGCCTGCTTTTTAAGGCGCATGGTAGCCCCAATCTCACAACGTTAATTTCAGTGTTCAATCCCATGAGCCTGGTTGCCTCCAGAAGCGCTGTAACAATACCCGCTACTTATCCTGATTTACAGTCCACAATTTTGGCTGCGGTTGCTGCTGTCTTGCTGTCCAATGCTGCTTATGCTTGTCATTTCATTGCATGTGTTGCGCGCATAATAGTATCCTGCCTCATTACTGCTGCATTATTGTGGGGGTTTGAACCCACTCCTTTCTGGTGTGCAAACATGCGTACCTATTGTGCAGTAATTGGGCACAGCCAATTCACGCCCATGTGCCTCTGCCATGAGTGCCATGCTTGTCTTACATCATGATGTGTGTCATGTTTCATGTGTAACAGTGTTTTTTTAATGGCAATGGCAGAGTGACCGACACATCGACGTGCATCGTGCAGTGAGCATCCCACAAAAGTGCAGTAGTGTCGGTCTTGAAACCGACGAGTGCCAACCCTATGCCCCCTGCCTTTTGTCCACCTGACTGCCATCAAACGCTGTTTGCAGAGCTGAATATTCTAATGTCTGGTTTGCCTTGATGAGGCAACATCAGCCCGTGGAGTTGGCGGAGACGGGGGTTGAGGGGTGGGGGCCTGCGGCTGTCTCTTCCACATCGGCCATCGGCTCGGGGTGCAGTCGCTCCCCGGCGATGGTGTGCCCCACGCTGTCGTGGACCGCCCTGTGGGAGCACCTCAGCAGCCCCTGCTTGCGGTGCCTCTTGTTGCCCTGCAGTTCTCCCCTCCACATTGATTTGAATTCCCACATCCGCGCTTGCTTGCAGGTGGCCCCCCGCATGCGATGAAGCAGCCGGTACGCCGCTTCTCGCGCCGCGCGCCGCCTAGTCACGCCCGCGCCCACACAAGAGTGCTGTCGCCCCTGCAGGTGTGGCGCATGCAAACAGACAGCCGTGTAGTTGACAGGGAGCGCGGGCATGGGCGCTCTGCAGCGCACAGCGGGCCGTGCCTTCGACGACATCAGCCTGCTGCTGTGTACGGTGTTACCAGTGTTGCAAGCCCGTCCTGAATCCAAGGCTGAGTTTTTTCACGCTGCATCAATGCACGGTGCACATTCTGCCCACCGTTTGGCTTGTCATTGTGATAATACAGACCCACAGGCGCCCCCGCTTGTGGTTTTCATAGCACTGCAGGTCCAGCAAGCCGTCGGGCCGCAGCCGCATCGAGACGGCACGCCTGGACCGACGCGCGCAGCGCAGCAGCCGTGTGCCTGGGGGGAAATATCGGCGGAGCGCGGCCTTGCTGGCGCTCAGGTGCCGCCGCCGCGTGCTGAACCTGACATCTTCAAATGCGATGCCCAGAGGCGCCGTCGCGCCGTCCGCCGCGCACAGCGCAGCTGCGACCAGAGGATCCTTGCATGTCATCCAGGACGTGCCTTCGGCGCGCAGCGCCGTGACAGTTGCCGTCAGTTTTTTGATGAGCTTACGGGACATGAGGATTTGCGGTGCCTGCTGCTCTGCTGGTGAACAGAGACTGTGCGTGCAGATCGCAGCGCAAGCGGCAAGCTCGCCGCACCAGCAATACAGGGAAACCGCAAGCGCTGAGCCGGCAGTACAGCAGCTTTGTTTGCTTGGATAGAATGGAGTATTTCAGTCATGCGAGAACGGGCTGGAACTCCCGACCGTGCGTCTGCGGTACCGTGTGTGCAGATTTCAACTCAGTGCTCTTCGCGGGATCCTTCTTGCGCGTTCGTGGTCCGCAGACTTTATAGGTTGAAATGTGATGTTACGTTTTGACATAGTTCGCTACTGACTTATACCCGGTCAACCGTTGACCCTCGCTGGGCGCAATAATGGCGTGGGTTGCAACATCAGCGCATGATTTAGCAGAGGGAATAGAGACGGAGGCAGCAGATCCGAGCGAGGGCATGGCGAAGCTCCTGGCGATGCTGGACCCGGCGCGAACGGGCCGCAGCAGCACTTCCTTCGCCATGGCGTTCAGCGCGGCACTGCTGCAGGGGCCGCCGCCCACGAGGGCCCCTGCTGCTGGTGAGTCATAAGAGCATCGGCGCTCACATGGGAGGCATGGCCTGCACTGGCAGAATCGGCTGGTCCGTGCGCACCTCCGAGCTGACGGCGCTGCTGCTTGCGTGCGACCACATACAGCCCAGCCCAACTCGCACTCAGGCCCGGCTGTCACTAAATCACCCCCACCGTTCCGCGTCCCGGCAGGAGGGGCGATCGTGCGCAGGGTTTGCGGCAACCTGTCGGAGCTGGTGGCGATCCTGGTCGACCACGCCGTCCGCAGGAAGCTGGCGGGCCTGCGCACCCGGGCGCAGCTCCGCGACGGCCTGCAGCAGCAGCAACCTGCCCTCGCGACGCTTCCGCAGCTGGAAGTCGTGCTGTCGCTGGGGACAGGTGGGATGGCTTTTGCTGATGCTTGTCGCATTGGTGGAGATGTCTCTGCATAATGCAATGCGTGCCGCGTGGGCATCGCCGTCTCATGGCTAGGCGGCAGCCGGCCATACATCCCTAGCCAACCGCTGCTAGGATGCACTGCTGGGCCGAATGCAGGTGGCTGGCCCGCAGCGGCAGCTCGCACCTGCTAATTGTATCCGTGATTCAAGTCCTGCTCTTGATTTGAACAAGCACCGTCATCACAATCCAGCTTCACCCTTCGTCATGCGGGCGCCCAACATCGTTGCATCTGCTCTCAATGATTTCTGCAGGCCCCGACAATGTGGCATGCGTGGCGCTGCTGCTGGGGTGCGCGTCCGCCTGGCCCAACACGTTGACGCCCTACTTCAGCAGCTACCCAGGTGACCATTGGATTGAACAGCTGGGGGCCAGCTTGAGTTTGGTTGCACTGACAGGCATGCTGACAAGAACGATATGCGCACACGAATCGAGCAGGCAAAGCGACATGTGTCCCAAGGCCGCAGCTCAGGGGCGAGCTTTGGCTTACTCGGCGTTTCCAATGGTACAGACATCCCAGGATCTTGACCCAGCAACCCCTGCATGCCGCCGCCCTGCACACCCAGGCCCTGAGGCGCGCGACCTCGGCATCAGGGCCCTGCTGACATCAATCTCAGACGACCTGTGCCCCGAGGAGGGTATCACGGCGCAGGAACTGCAGCAGCTCATGACCCTGCTGCCAAGACTGGTGGTAGAGCGCGCCTCACACTTTGCGAAGGCGGTCCTCGGCAGGGGCGACCACGCCAAGCTCAGCTCGCAGATTTGCGCGCTGAACCGCCAGGACCGCGTCAAGGTGGCTGCGCTGCTGCTGGTCGGCGCACTGAGCCACATGCCCAATGCCGGGCAGGTGCGGAACAGTCTGAAATTCTATTCCTTGCCTTGACCTGGCCATTCGGCCGGCCAGCACGGGCTTCCATATGGGAGGGCAACAGACGATGGATCTGAGAGGGGGCGCACTGCGTGCAGCAGTGCGCAGCTGGCAGGCGTCCGTCGGTGATTGCGCTTTGCTGGTTGCAACCAGTGGGCGTGCGGCTCAAGCGTTTCTAGACACGCACCTATGCAGCATGACGCAGCGCTGGCATCTGCAGCCATCAGTCGGGGGCCGTCTGTATGCCTCCACATTCAGCCGCACGCTTGCTCTCTTCACATGTCTCTAGTTGTGCATCTCCACGCACTTTTGACAGGCTCCCATGGCCCACGACGACACCCTGCCGCGGCCGCTGAGCGCATCACAAAGCGTCGGGGTGGCTGCACTGGCGCGCCTGCTTGCGCCCTCGGTCCTCATTAGAGATGTGGACGGGCAGATTGTGTGCAGCCTGGACGGCTCTGAGGCTGCCAAGACGATCCATGCGGTGGGAAGAGAGCTGCTAGGACAGCTCAGCGGCGGCGCGCAGTCGCGTGAGTGCGCCGCCATCTGCGAGCTCCACCAGGGCGCGCACACCCCCATCGGCCTGTGCGTGCTGGGCCGCGCCTGCGTGCTGGAGCAGCAGCGGCGCGGCACGTACCTGCCGGCAGCCGATGCGGGCCTCGGCGGCGGCGGCGAGGGCGGCGCGGACGTGGCAGAAGCCGCTTGTGAGCTGGCCGGCGCCATTGGCTCCAGCGGCTCACGCCTGCGCCGGGTCCTGACTGCAGATCGGATCCAGAGCATGGGCCTGGGCGGCGTCGCGCAACCCGTTCTGGACAGCTTCGCCAGGACGCTGGCCAAGGCGCTGCCGCGCGCCGCGGGCGGCGGCGCCGCTTACGACGCGAGCAGGGTGGCGCTGATAGCGCTGCTCGCGGCGCACGGGTACGGCGACGCGGCGCGCGCGCTGGCGGCGCAGGCTTTGGGGGGCGGCGCTCTGGAGTACCTGTTCCCCTCGCAGACCGCAGCTGCACAGGAGGCGCAGCATGCCCCGCAGGCGGCGGTCGCCCTTGCCGTGCTCGCAGGCGCAGGCGGCGGCGGCGTGGGAGCCATTGGCCCGCCGCCGCAGCCGCTGCTGGCTGTGCCGGCGGTGGCCGCTGGCGGGGCTGCGGGAGCCGGGTTTGCCGGCGCACATGCCATCCGAGCGCCGCCAAAGCGGCCCCATGCAGTGTCCAACGGGGATGCCGCCTCGACGGCGGTGGCAGCGGCAGTGGCAGCCGCGGCGGATGCGGCGCAAGAGGACGAGCCGCAGGCGGCAGGCAAGAAGCCCCGCCGCGCGGTTGATGGTCCGGGCGCCAGCAGCAGCAGGGGCAGCAACAGCACGGCAGAGGGCGGAACGGGCAGCGGGGCCAGCGGGTCCAGTGAGAGCTCACCGCCGGCAGCCGCGAAGCTCAAGGGGGCTGGCGGGGGGCGCGGCGGGGGGCGCGGCCCTGGTCGCCCCTTCTACGAGCGCGAGCTATTGGAGGAGATCCAGCGGGAGCACGAGCTAGGAACGCGCTCGCAGGACGTCGCGGACCCCGACGTGGCGCTGGGCCTGCTGATCGGCGGCGGCTGCCCTGTCACCTTTGAGGCCAAGGAGTTTGCCACCGGCGCAGATGCGAGTGCGAGCGGCATTGCGGCGCTGCTGGAGGCAGAGCTGCAGGCCGGCTGGCGCGTGGAAATCTCTAACAAGGTCAGCAACAAGCCGCTGGACCTGAGGAGTGGCGCTGAAGGCCCCATGCTGCTAGTGTTCAAGAACCACCCGCGGGCGCATGTCTATGTGGCAACGGCGGCAGCGAAGGACATGGTGGTAGGTAGCTGCGCTGCTGTGAGTTTTTACAAATGTTGTTGGCTGCTGCTGCTGCCGCTGCTGCTGCTGCTGCTGCTGCTGCTGCTGCTGCTGCTGCTGCTGCTGCTCTTATTGCTGATTTAATTACCGCTGCTCATGTTGTGGCTTTCCCTGCTGTCACTGCAAAGTATCTAGGTTCCTCTGTTCTGCCTTATGTGTATCTGGTCGACACCTCGTGCATTCTCGCCATTTGCGCCCCTTCAACCCTTCCTGCTGTCGCTCCCTATTCCCGCTCCTCGCCAACTCAGGGGGCTCCTGTGTCCCTGCGCGCAGCCGGCATCACGAAGGAGAAGGCGTCCAAAGACGCCTGCTTCTGCCTGCTGAGGCTGCTGCTGCCCCACAGCCGCGCGTACGCCAAGTGGTGGGGGTATGAGGAGGAATACTTATCAGAGCTGCGCCTGGCCGGCGACGCCACTCTCACAGTCGGGGAATTTTGCGCCCAGCTGGTTGGGGCGTGAGGCGCCCCCAGGTGCAGATCAACACACGAAGCGGAAGGGCCGGCAGGGTGCAAGCGCTCCTGTCCTGCATCGGCGTGCCGTGCGCGCTGTGCGATTCCGAGGGCGTCTTGGGGCGCGGAGAGCTCCAGTAGCGCAGGAAGGTGCAGACGATTGCGGCCACAGCGCACCATCGAGGCAGGCGTCATTGTGCGCGCCACGGCGCAAGGCGCGTTGGCGAGACTGCTGCCTGCCACGGCGCTTTGCAGCACGCTTCTAGTCTAGCGGGTACACGAGCACACAAGGACAGAGAGCCAGCAGCCAGCAGCCAGCAGCCAGCAGCCAGCAGCCAGCAGCCAGCAGCCAGCAGCCAGCAGCCAGCAGCCAGCAGCCAGCAGCCAGCAGCCAGCAGCCAGCAGCCAGCAACCTCCCAGCAGCAGCCACCAGCCAGCAGATCAAACTCCACGACGCACCGGAAACCCCTGTCGATCCCAATCAAGTTGATTCACTGCAAATCTTTTTAATGTTCTGTCTTGTAACACACCTTTGATAAAGTTACAGCGTGCAGGGGGGAGCAGCAACGGGCGGCGTGCGGCCCAGCAGCAAGGCATGGCAGGCCGCGCATGAATCCTGCAGGCTCTCACGGCCTGCACAGGCCTTCAGGGTTCAACTGTGCCCTGCCTTCACTCCAAGTGACAGGATCCAAAACCCTGCGCAATGTCCATCCGTGCTGCTAAAAGAGTCCTTTGATCTTCACAAGGCGTATTGATGACTCGACCCTCGTTAGGCAGAATAACCACCAAAAGTAATGGTGCAGATGCCACGCACCCATATGGGCTGAACCACTGCACTTTGTGTATATCTCTGATGTGGTTTCTGGATTGTGCAGGACACCGTCATGAAAGGCAAGATGTCAGGTGGACAGGCAGGAAGTCGGTGCTGTTTTGCTGCTGCTGTTTTGCGATTGCTGATGAATCCCTCCATGATATTGTTTGTAGGAATCTATTTGATTGCAGCCCCTAATCTCAACCATCCGAAAGCCTGCCTCTTTTGATCAGCACGCAGGGTGGGCACTGCTGGTGTCTTAGCCGCACATATGACTGCCGTCTCTTTCATGCAGGCTTTTTTCCCATCACCTTTTTCAAGCAACATTGATTTGGCCCCCCCCCCCCATTTCCAGGTCACCCCTGTCCGTGTGGCAGCAAGGTCATGCACCTGTCATCCAGTTGTTCACCGGCTGCAATTGAAAATTGTCTTGATGTTAGAAAGGCAAGATGTATCCCTCCTCAGCAAAGAATGGATCACGTAACATCGTGAATACACAATATATGTCCACAGGCGCCAGCCGTCGGCGCTAGCTACCGCGCTGCGCTGCCAGCACCTCTGCAGGTAGTCCAAAGAACTGAGCCGCGGCCCGCGACGTCGCCTCGGCGACCTCGGCCTCCCCCCGCCCCAGCGAAGCCGCGACCTGCGCCAGCACGTGCGGCAGCAGGCTCGGCTCGTTCCTGTGGGGCCGCGCCTTGGACGGCTTGATCGTCCGAGGTACGAGGTACGGGGCGTCGGTCTCGATCATCAGGCGGCCGTCAGGGATGTCTCGCAGCAGCGCCGCCAGCTCAGCGCCGCCCCGCTCAGGCCGGTCGTCGCAGACCCAACCGGTGATGCCGATGCACAGCCCTAGTCCAAGGCAGTCCCGCAGCTCTTGCTCATTCCCAGTGAAGCAGTGCAGCACACCCGCCACCGCCGGCTGCCGCTGGCCATCCGCCGACGCGCCGTCGCCATCGCCGTCCACGCCGCCTTCGCGGGCCGCTGCTGCTGGGTCTGCTGCACGCAGGATCTCGGCAAATTTCTCTCCGGCGTCGCGGCAGTGCATGAACAGGGGTTTGTTGAGCTCAAGGGCCAGGGCTACCTGGGGGTTGCGACGTGTTGATAGCACGCGCGCGCGTGTGCGTGTGTGTGTGTGTGCGTGTGTGTGTGCGTGTGTGCTTTTGTGGGCAGTCATTTTTGCGTGTATGCAATTGAGTGCACACGCATCTCATTACGCCTTTGTACGTATAATGAGGTTCATGTTTGTCTGCAGATGTTCGAGCGTGTGCGCGTATGTGTGTGTGTTTGTGTGTGTGTGCGCGTGTGTGTGTGTTTGTGTGTGTGTGTGTATGTGTGTATGTGTGTGTGTGTGTGTGTGTGTGTGTGTGTGTGTGTGTGCGCGCGCGTGTGTGAGTGTGGGAGAGAGAGACACAGAAAGAGAGAGACACACATTGTGAGTGGGTTCGCAAGCGCGTTGAAGCGCCCGTGAGTGCCTGTTCTCCGTCGCACCTGCTTCTCGAACCACTCTACCTGGACGTCAGGGGGGCTGAAGTTGCGGTTGAAGTCCAGCCCACACTCACCTGGCACGCGGGTTTGTTGGGGGGGGGGTGATAACAAGGGTTGTGTGCGGGTCGCCATGATGCAAGAGAGGTGCGTGCTTGGGCATGGATACCCAACTGTCCTGACACCTCGGGTGCTGGGGCAGGAACAATGGGGGAGTGTGGCCATCGCACGGGCCCAGCCTGCGACGCAGCGCAAAGCGACTGCCAGGGCAGTTGCCGGCTCCGTGGCCCAATCTGAAAGCTCGGCCTCCGTCGTTCGCCCTCGTGCCTCCTGCCGCAGCCTCGTGGCAGCCCCCCACACCCCTCCGCACCCCACCCCAACCAACCCCACCCAGGTCTGCCCGCC